CCCCCCCCCCCCCCCCCTGAAACACCTATTTGGTTCAGATATAATGAAAACTATAACGCCGCTTTTTTTTTTGTGTGTGTGTGGCTTCAGTCGGAAGCGGTTTAGCGAGAAACAGGCGGAACAGTGGTGGGCAGAGAACAGAGTTCGTGTCTACGAACAATACAACGTACGTATAGTTGATAAGTCCAGTGTGGGTTTAGGAAGTGAAGACATTCCTCATTGAATTCGTTTTTTTTTTACCCCAAAATAACACGGAATCGGATTTCTCACCAGTCGTAAATTTTTTTCGATGAAAATGGCCCCTCTTAAATCTGGTTTCCATAAGTTTGTGGGGAAATCGGGTATAGAGATTAGAAGTTTTCTTTTCTTCTTTTGGGCCCTTGCGTATGATTAGTTAGTTTAGTTTGACTTGTGTATCGTGGGTTACAGGGTGTGTACGTGTCTTCCTGGGTTGGGATTTGATATCGTATGGTGTATTGGTATTTGTATTTGGGGTGAAATTTAGGAAATTGTAAATTCCTTGTGGGGTAATACTGTAAATTCTGCAAGCATATTATACTCGTGTGTTTTCTTCGCTTCTAAGTGAACACAAGCCAACCGGAAATCTTCTTCTGTAAATCTGAACAATGTTAATGGCTCTTTTGCTTTTTTATTCGAAGGAGAATCACACTCTGAATCTAATAAACAATCTAGTAATCTTTTGTATTTTCATAGATACAACTAGGGATGGAAATTTCGAATTTTGATTTGGATTTTTTTGATAAAGACATCGACGAGCTGTGTACATCAAGAGGAACAATGTGACTTTTGATCAAGCTATAGCAGAAAGTATGAATTATCAAAAGCAACGGCAGCAGCGTGTAATTTAATTTCTTTTATAAATCTAGAGCCTAATCTCCGACCTCGTTAAATTGGAAGCAGCAAAACTTTCAAAGCAGAAGTCATAATAAAACTCCCATTTTTATGTTTTTTCCCCACTTGCTTCAGTTGGAACCTAAAATTATAAACTAAACTTGGATGTTCTAGTGATAAGAAAACATTCAAAACATGTTTTATCTCGGATTCAAATCTAAACGAGAAACGATATATTCACTCGAACTTCTTTGGTTCTCTAGGAGATATAATTGGAAAGAACTGATAAACTTTCGGATTATTAAAAAAAATTATAAACTACAAAAGTCAGTGTGCTGTTTTTGATAGATGCATCCCTGAAAACCACAAAGGGAGAAACTGAACAGACACGTAAATTTCAGAGGAAACATGTGCTTTGTAATCAATTTCTCCGTGCTAGTGCTGCAGCAACACCGCCAGCAACAAGTCCAACAGCAGTAACGGCGATACCAATGCCGATAACGCCATCTACATAAGAAGAAGAAAAAAACATGGAGTGGTTATCTTTAAAGTTTTTGGTGGAAGAAGAAGAGGAGGAATATTACCAGTCACAATTCGGTCCTCGATGGACTTTTTAAGTGCCTGAGCCTGTCTCCACTCTGGTTCGAGCTAAACCAAGAAAGCATAAGGGCCTTAAAGAGGCAAATGCCGTTATTCAAGAGTTTTGAACCATCTGGGTTCAGAAGATCGAACCTCTAAACATTTCTCCACGAGTTCCCTGCTCCTTGGAAAGTCACCGCTTCGATAATACCCCACAGCAAGGAGATAGAGCTTCTCCCTCGATTTCAATGGACTTGTTTCGTTAGCCAACGAAGCTGTGAACAACCCGCATTGGATGCAAAAATACATAACACAAACTCCCACAAGAGATTGAGGAAGAATGTAATTATATTGCATGTCAATTAGAATGTTTAGACCGTCTTCATCGAATTACCTTCAAGCATAGCTATCCCGCGCTGGACATCCGCGGGTTTCTTTGAATGAACGAGAGCCCAGGATAGACGCATGATGCATTCATTCTTAAGCCCTTCGTCGGAACCTTTCTCGGCCTCTGCAACTTCTTTCTCACAGCCCTGAGGATGTGCTAATTTGTCAAAAGGAAAGCATACATCCAGACACCTAATCAGTCATGCAAGGGTTTCGAAATTTCCAAATCAATGGAAAAAAATCTTTCCTCCGAGAAAACACACAAATACAACCATAAATATAAGCTATTGAATTATCTTAGTAGATGACATTTTCCGTTTCACATTCATCAAGTTTGCTTTTGTGATTGAACATCTATCTACACAAAAGCAATGTCGAAACAGAATTAATGAACGCATATACACTTCTATTCACAAACATATACGTAATCACATCCGTTCACAAGCAGAGCGAAAGAGTTCCGAATCAGAAGACTAGATTCAAGGCAACGGACGAATTCGGAAAAATCCTAATTTGAGGAATCCAAGGCCAATCACAGGCTTACCGATATGATATCGGAATCGCACAAAGGAAACTGATCGCCGGAGCCTGATCCAGCGCCGGAGAAGAAACCGGAGACCGAATCGAAGAATTTTCCGATCGTCGCATCCATTTCTCGCCGCAGCTTGTTTTTTTTTTCTTTTGTTTTATGTTCACTGGTTTTTATCGGACGTTGTATCTTGGACGAGAAATCTATGCCGGCAAACCGGTTAAGAGAAACCAACCGGTGATTTAACCAAATAAACGGACCAAACTTACCACGAATTAACCAACTAAATTTTACCTTTTTTAAAAAAATTTCCATCCGTTTATTTAAAAGTTCAAACTTAATTTTGATAGAAAAATCCGTAGAAACATCAAACTAATTAAATTTAATCAAATTAATACATAAATTTGAATTTTATCATAACAATACATCAAAACTTCCAAAATATCATTTAATTATTCTGTATCTAATTAATATATAAATTTCAATTTTTAACATAATAATATATTGAATCGTGTCAAATAACACCTAAACAAACATTTTTATTGGTTTTAATTAAAAATAAATGTTAATTTTATATCAAATATAAAACCAACATATCTCTTATACCTATTTTTTTTTATTGTCATACAAAACAAAACATTCCCAATTCCGGTTAATTCCGAATAAAATCGGATTCTCGGTAAGAAAGGATCAAATCTCCGCCACGTGAACACTCCGTCACTCTTTCCACTTTGCGTAATCACCCATTTTTTTTAAATAATAATGGATGATCAAATAATTATCAAATATTACTATATGTTGTATATATCTGAATCTAGATTTTTGTATATATATACATATATATATATATGGGTTTTGCAATGTCGGGATCCTGAGACGATGATGGATACACTGTAGAGGGAACTGGGAAGGGAGAAGAATCCTAATTTTCAGTGTAGAAGAGTTCTACTTGCTCCATCAATGGAGCTTGGGTCTTTCAGCTCGTGCTTCAGGACAAACCCTCCTGTTCTAATCTCACCACCTGTGATTCGGACAAACGCCGAGATTTTCTGGAGACAGAGAAAGAGGAGATCCATGTTCACTGCCTCCGCTGTCTCCTACAAGGACTTTGTCCACTCCGCTCTCGAAGAAACCAGACGACGCGTCGTTCTCGAACCATCTCCTCTCCAGGTATACACGTGGGCTCATTATATATATATATATGTCGCGCCTCTACCAATTATTCTGGCCGCTAGGGTTTTCTTTAGGGTTTAGTGAGTTCTATGGTGATCTAATGGCGGAAATGTTTTAGGTTTAGGGTTTGGAGGAAATGGGTTTCCAGGTTTGCTTGCAACATTGATTTCAGTTACCCAACTGTGTGTACTTTTATGTCACTGTCTTTAGTCTGCAATGTGGAAACAGTATGCGAATATCAAGTTCGAATCTGAAACTTGATTTTTTAGTGTAAAGACCGCCTCTACTCAAATCTTCAACTGTGGTCGAAGGATTATATCGTTAAGACTGTCCATTGAATCTCTTTGGTATCGAAGAAGATCCATTGTAGTGTCCTAATCGGCATATTAGATTTGTAATGATGTCATTCTTGATTATATTAAACTTGACAATGCTGTTTGTCTAACTGCTTTAAGCCTCTGAATCTCCATGTGCTTGAGGTTTGATGTCTTTGGATTACGGAAAGGTCCAAATATACATGAAACCTATCGTGGTGAAGTGAATGGTGCTAGTTTCCTTTCTTTCCATCGGTCATTAATTAGTCACTCCATTCCACTTGAGCTTTCTCTTTGTACTCCCTCCGCTATGTCTACTGCTTTGGACTGCATAACAAATTCAGGATTCGATGTGAATTTTGGAATTTAGATTCATTGATCAGAAGCGGGTTTTCAGGAAAAGTATAATAGAATGACAGCACTTGATGGGAAAACAGAGCTTCAGATGCTAGCTTTCAGATCTTCAAGGATAAGGCTTTTGCGAAGCATGACCATCGTGAGTGAGACAATGCAGGTAAATTTCAAGATCTAGTCCCGGTATCGTATTTTCATGATCTCTTTGGATATTTAACTTCGGTGGAATGTTCACTACAAACTCAGCATAAAAATGTGTCGCTTCTGTCATCATTCACTCCTTTCCAATTCCATCTTGTCTTGAGTTTATGTGTGGATTATGCTATTTGTATTATGTTGCAGGTTTTGGACTTTGCTGGTTTTATGGAGCCTGAGTTTGATGCACCGATATTCTGTGCAAACTGTTTCACATCTGCCAATATGAATATAGTTGTCTTGTAAGTTGTTCCCATATCTTTTTCTCGTTTTGGTTTTAAATAATGTCGAAAGAATCGAATCCGTTTTTCTTTTATCGAAACGAGGAGCTTAGTTTCCAGAACTTGTTTCTTTAGGGACCTAAATCCTTTGCATCAGCTGACCGGTCAGAGAGATTACAAGGAGAAGTATTATAAAAACTTGATGACCTTATACCACAAATATGCTGAGGTGAGCATAATTACTTGGCATAGAACACTAAATCCTACAAAAACCTATCATATATTCAATAGTTCTATAAACTAATCTTCCTGAGCTTACGTATGGCGACTGAACAGAGATTTCATGCAGCTTTTGCCGTGGGGAGGAAAGCTGACTGGTGAATCCATAAAGTTTTTCTCTCCTCTGGTTATTTGGACCAAATTTACCTCTACTCAAGAAAAACATAGAGCTTTATTCTCCGCATTCTTGGATTACTACGAGGTTTTTGCTCTTTTTCGTTCTTCAATTCAAAGTCTCCCTCTTGATCTTGTACTGTTTTTTTTTTCTCGTTTTATAGTTGAGACACGATTGATAATTTCGTTCCGTTTCTCTCTAGGCATGGCTTGAAATGACGGGTCATGTGGTCGAGGAGATGGACGCAGCTAAGGTCATGGCCAACCGGGAAGCACAGCACAAGTACCTGACATGGCGCTCCGAGAAGGTGAGATTTGCCTTCGATTCGTTTGCATGTTCATGGATAGATAGTATACGAGATCATACTTTGGCTTGAACAGAGGGCAGTAAAATCAGTTAATAGGGTTTTGTCATGTGAAACCCAGTTTTTTTTCCGACAACTGTGTGCCGTACTGTCTGATTTCAGGACCCTGGACACGGTGTACTGAGAAGATTAATCGGTGAAACGCATGCAAAGGTATCATCGGCACATCAGTGTTTGGATCTTTTACCTCGCTGTTTCCTGAGTGTTTTTTTTACGATAATCTATCTATACGATGAATCAGGACTTGCTAAGGAACTTCCTCTTTAATGGGGTCGATGAACTAAGCACGAAAACGTTCCTCGATTACTTTCCAGAGTACCGAACAGAAGAAGGGTCTGTAAATTACCAACGAAGTATGGTCGGGAAATCGTTTGAAACCCGTCCGTGGGATGCAAGAGGAGAATTCATCGGCTGAGATTTGTCAGACCTAAACAATCAGAGTATTCAAAGACTCAACCTTTATGGAATATCTCCAGGTTTGTTCAAAACAAATCCCCTCTCTTTCTTACATGAACAAGTTTTAGTGTTCACTTACATAGAAGATGGATACAAAATTTGTCAGAGGTTCGTATATCTTAGTGTTCTTTAGCTGCATGACATGTAAGGGTGATAGTGATACTAAGAAAAACGACATGAAGATTCTTTCGGGTTATGCTGAATCCGATATTCCATATAAGTTTCCGCGCCTTTTGGATGGATAGAATCCGAAAAGATATTTTTTGGTCGAGGTACTGCTCCATTCGGGTAAAAAAAAAAAACAGTCTTTAACTTTGAAATCTTGATACTTTCACCCTCCGTTTCTGTTTTTTTTTTGTCGGTTTTTTCGTGGATTTCGCAGCTGCATATACAAGAACGGGTAAAATTTCGTTGCAGGGAATACAGAGGCGGAGGCAGCGGCTGCGACTATGGCTGTAAAGCTCAAGCACGACTAACTAATGCCGTGGTGACAAGAGTGTGATGACCGAACCGAAATGTCCATCTTGTAGTAATCCGTAGAGATGCATTTGGATCAAGGCATGTTTGCTGTTTTGTAGTTTAAGGTTGAAATTTTATATATTGGGGATGTTCTTTTAGTTCTTACGTATAGTATACATATCAGAATCCAGTGGTGGTAACTAGGGGCAGGTGTTCGGTATTCAGTTCGCGTGCGATTCAACTCTTTCGGTGTACCAATCGGTTATTATTTCATATTCGGCTCACCGTTCAAAAGTTTAGACAATTCGGTTAAAGAAATCATATTTTTCGGTTTGATACGGTTTGATTACGATGGAACAGTTCCGAAACGGTCATCCGTATTGGTAAATGATAAACTTTGTTAATTGGTTCATGATTACCATTTTAAAATTCTCATACTAAATGTAACCATGTTAATGTTATTAACTATAGTTACCTATGGCTCTTCACTCATTTTTGTTTTAGGGTGTCCAAAAATTGATTGGGTTATATAATCTTATACAAATCCTTGAAGATATAACTTTTTTTTTTCAAACTTGAATATTCAAATCAAATTTATAAATAAAAAATTAATTTTGAAAAAATAAATATTTTTAGTGAAAATTGGAAAGCCAATCGAATTTGAATGAAAAAAAACATTTTGAAAAATGTAGCTTATATTAATTTGGATGTTATTGAGTATAACGCATTTAAAAAGTTCTAAATGTATTAAACTCCTTCGCGATTGTAATTCATAAATTTTAAAAATACCCATATGAAAACCATGCCCATTCTATCAATGGAATCTCTGGTTACAAGTAAAACCCTACATGAACATTTTTTTTTTCTCAATGATTTTCAATCATATATATATATATATATATATATATATATATATATTATGATGGTTGCACCATTTAGATGTGTAATAGATTACATATTATTCGGTGATATTATATAAATTCCACAATTTTTTTAGTTAGTGAAATGGATTAAATTCTTCTTAAATAGAGACATTTGTGCTAAATCCGAGCTATAATTAGAATTCTAATTTTTATAATACGAATACTAGTACTATCGCTATATTACAAGTTTCTAACTTTTTTTAGCAAGAATTTACTGATTTAAAAATTGTAGAATCTGATAAATCATATAACGGTGAAAATTTCAGACAGTTAAATTATTATTATTCTTTTTCAGATCGACCAATTATATTATTTGTATAAACATTTAAATGTAATTGTTTTAGCGAAGAAAGGTATCTTGGATAAAATAAATATTTGATGCAACCTTTTTAAGAGATTTTAAAATATATACACACACACACACATTTCTATATATATATATAACGAGCACTTTGACCAAAGAGAAGAGAAAAGGAAACCAAGTGGGAGGGCATTAGAGAGATCGTCTCCCTTCGTCTAACATTCACCTACTCGCCTGTTTCTTCCTCGTTCGAATGGCAGTAAAAAATTTGTGAAGCGTTTCCGAAGAGAGACAGGGACGCCTTCATCGCTCTCTCTCTCTCTCTCCATTTCCTGTGTTTCTTCGCCTAAAGTGAGAGAATCCAAGAGAATCTCTCTCTCTCTCTCTCTCTCTCTCTCTCTCTCTCTCTCTCCGTGCACGTTGAAAGCGTTTCCCAAAGCGAGAGAGAGGATACGAAGCCGACCCACCATTTTCTCTCTCCTACTGAAGTCCTGGATGGGTTTTATGGGTTTCGCTTGCTTCGTTCGTTCGTTCATATATTCTCTCTTCCCGTGAACCCAGAGGATGTTTGTAAACAATTGAGTTCGTGGGCGAAGTTGTCAGGAAAGAGTTCGAGGGGCTTCGGTTTTGCTCGGGAACTGCTCGATCTTTCGATTCCTCGTCTGGATTTTTTGAGACTCGTTTACGATAACGGATTTACCCCGATTGCCGAATTGGCGGAGGCTGTTGCTCCTTTGGTCGGAGTAAGGGATTTCCGGGGGAGATGGTTCGGGTGAAACCTCGAGTTGGTCGGCGGCCGAAGAAGCGCGCTCGGATCGCGAGGATGAAAGAGATCATGCGCGGTGGTTCTGGCGATGAGGAAGATCGACTACATAACGAGGTAAAACCGTTGGAAATTGTCGATTTGAATGATGGATTTGTGGAGAATTCTGGGGTTAGTGATGTTTTCGATGTCAAATTGACTGGGGATGTTGATTTAAATTATGGGCCTGATGAAACCCTAGGTGGGAATTGTGGGTCTGAGACAGATTTGAACGAGAGAGTGGAGGATTTGGGGATTGGAATTGATTTGAATACTGGCTTGGATTTGAATTCGAACGAAGGATTAGGTTTGATTAATGTGAATATCGATTATGAGGATAACTTTAGTGAGAGAAGGAGGGATTTTATTGATCTGAACGTGGATGCGAACTGTGATTTGGACGAAGTTGATGGCTCTGCTTTGGGTGAGCAGAAGAGGGAACGAGGATTTGATTTGAATTTGGAGGTTGATGTGGAGAATAGCAAGGATAACATGGACGTTCAAGTAAATGGATACAGTTCTCTACAAAAGCCTAGCGAGCATGGTTATGCCAATTTCCACCGTGATGTTGAGAATGGAGAAATTAAGGAGGTTAATGTTACTGAAGTTACGCCCGAGCAGCTAATTGAAGAGATTCAGAAGCAAAATAGTGTTTTAGGTCAAGAATTTCATACCCCTGATCCTAATGGGGTCAGTCAGAAGGATGATCTTTCTGATTATGAGGCCGGGGCTGTTGACGAGTCTCATTCTGATCGGAGAAATTCATATGAATTTAGGAATGGTCAGAGGAAGAGAAGAAAAGTTTTAGATAATTCTAATTTCAGGACTGAAACTGTGTTGAGAAGAAGCACTCGCAGTCGTAGAATGTCATCTCGAACTCGTTTCACTACTACATCAACAACTTGCTTATTCGATGAAGTATCTCCTTCTCCTGCAGTTAGTAGTCTGACAGAGGAGAAACATTTAACTATGGATGGGTCTGATGAAACTGCCTTGTTGCCCCCAAAGCCACAATTACCACCATCTTCGTGTAACTTGAGTTTCGAGGGTCTTCCTTTGCTCGATGTCTTTTCTGTCTATTCTTGTCTGAGATCCTTCAGTACTTTATTGTTTCTAAGCCCCTTTGTGTTGGAGGACTTTGTGGAAGCACTGAACTGTCTCTCCCCTAGTCTGTTATTTGATAGCATCCATGTTTCTGTCTTGCAAATATTGAGAAAGCATTTGGAGCAAGTTGCTGGAGATGGTGACCTATCTGCCTATGATTGCCTAAGGTATGTTCTCTCTGCACTCGGGCTTTCAGAATAGATGATTTGTATCTCTTAATCGTGTCTCTGTTGTAGGGATTTGATGCTTCTCCATTTCCGGTTCTTACATTTGCTGGCGTCTTTGGATGTAGGAGTCTTGATTGGGATATGCTGGATGTGGTTACTTATCCTCTTTTTGTGGTCGAATACCTGCTATTTTGTGGCTCAGATCACAACCCTGGACTGGATCTTGCCCGTTTGAACTTTTTTAGGAGTGAATACTTCAAACAACCCGCGACTCTGAAAATTGAGATACTTCGCCGCCTGTGTGACGACATGATTGAGGCTCAATCTGTGAGATCAGAGCTTAATAAAAGGTCTTTGGCACCCGAATTTGAAATGGAACCTGATAGGCACATGAACGCTGAAGTGAGAAGGAGAAGGCAAACTATGATGGAACCGGCTGATGATTTGTCTTTGAATGATGACGTCGTTGATTTTTCTTCTGACTGGAACAGTGATGAGTGCTGCCTTTGTAAGATGGATGGGAGCTTACTGTGCTGTGATGGCTGTCCAGCAGCCTATCACTCTAAGTGTGTTGGTGTTGCCAGTCATCTTTTGACTGAGGGTGATTGGTACTGCCCTGAATGTTCATTTGATCGGCTTAGGCCAGGATTAAAGCCTGGAAAGCTAGTTCGAGGAGCAGAGTACTTAGGAACTGATCCCCATGGACGGCAATACTATAGCAGTTGTGGGTACCTATTGGTGTAAGTATCACTGAACCTATACTTTGGATTCACCCCTATGACTACTTATTTCTGATAGTGAAAACTATTTGCATGAATATTTTTATGGTTTTCTTTTGTCTCAACTCATGGGATCATACAAATAATTGGAGATTTGGTTATGTGGAGCAGTATCTCAGCCTCCACATGTTCGCTTTAAAAACGTGCTATGTGTGTTGCTATTTGAAGAATTTGAAGCGGGTTTATGGTTTCTGCCTATCGTGTATATTAATATCTATTATAGAACCTTGATGAGCATTGTGCATTGTTGGGTTGTGAGTGACTCAAAAGACTGCTAGATGATATTCACAGTTTTCTGCTCTATTCTTCTGATGTTGCTCATACTATCCATTTCGACACCCTAAAGTTAAATGATTAGGTTTGGTGCACCTAACAGAATGATGGTTATCTAAGACTTTATCTGCTGTGAGATGTAAAATGTCTTCCTCAGTAGAAACCATTTCCTGTATAACTATGGCCTCGTCTGCTGTTCCTAGTCTTTTCTATGAAGTTGAAGGGTATGGTGATACATGCAAAATGACCTGCTTCCTATCCCTTTGTTCTGTTACAAAATGTTGCCCAAAATCTCTGATATAGATAGTGGTATGTTTGTTACATGGTGATATGTTTATAGTTACTACAATAGACAGGCACAAAAGGTCCTTTAAGTCAAGGATGATAAATTAATGAGATACGTTCTTATTTACAAAATCTGTTTACAGTCAGGCTCA